TGTTTAGCACATAGCAATGCTCAGCACACCCTGTTGACTCATAAGGTGCTGTTCTTTGCTCTTGGCCTGAACACGGAAGGGCTCACCATTCACTGTGACTGTGAGAAGAAAGCGGCGCCCACACCTGGGTGTGTTTCACTGCTGCACCTTCTGCTCTAGTGGAGGCCAGAAGAACACGCGCTGTGCCTGTGGAGGCACCATGCCTGGTAAGGAGGAGCACCATTCATTACCCTTGGGACTATCTTCCAGAAGTAGGGATCAAGTGACATCCCCCACCCCACCGCACTGCCACATAGCCACTAGGTCGGGATGCTGGGACTGAGGCTTTGTTTCTAGGAAGCATAATCTGTTTTGTGTGCAGACACAGTAGAAGTTCCACTTAATCTGGCTTCTATATTCTGAGCTGATATTGCAGATTGAAAGTTCTGAGTTCTGTTTGGTTTTGATACAGTTCACCAATCCTGCAATCCCATGCTTCTCTGGGATTTTCAATTTCAATCTATACCCTTTCCAAGAGGCTGAGCAATTTGAGAAAGATAGACCCATCTTACCCCTTTTAAAACCTTAAAGAAATTCCAAATGAGGCAATGATTGGGGAGTGGATGATTAGATCAGTTAAACCAGGTCTGGCTCTTTTGTTGGTGGTAGGGAGATCGCAGGCAATAGATGGAATTATTTTTTTAAATTGCTCTATCATGTCCTTATTCTAATGGTGGGCCATAAAATGGGCTTTTGTACCCTTTCTTTATAACCACTCCAGTACCTGCCTCCCTTTTCATTTCCTTTAATCTACCCTTCTTTTTCATTTCATTTTACAATTGAAATTCAAATCCTTTCACTTTGCAGTTAAAGGCCAAACTAGTTCATCTCCTTCAGTTGGTGCATTTAAACACTGTTGGGAGAGCTTTGTTGACTTTCATGGATTTGCTGTGATGAGTCTTGAGAACCCTCCTACCATGGAGGGTCAGATAGCTTGTTCCTCTCATCAGGGTTTTCTTAGGGAATGTCCACGGTTGCCAGGAGGTTCAATTTCCATGGTACCTGGACTCCACTCTCAGGGTTTGTTTTTCCTCTCCTCTTTGTACTATGCAGGTGGGTACCTAGGCTGTGGCCATGGGCACAAAGGCCATCCTGGTCGTCCACACTGGTCTTGCTGTGGGAAGTTGACTGAGAAGTCTGAGTGCACATACATAGGTGGGCAGAGCACCTCGACGAGTCTACTCAGGACTGTGGCACTCTAATGCTTCCTGGACGAGTTTGGCCTGGTAAAACCCCAGACAGCTGGATCTCAGATTTCCAGAGGATTCCAAAGCTCGATTAATTCTGAAGAGACTGATAAAATTAAAAACAAAGTGCCTTATCTTATTTTATAGTTCAAGTGCTTATTTGTGAGTTACTCACTGATTGTACTTGTGGATGGTTGACTGTGTTTCTCTTTAAGGTAGGTTGGTGTGTGTTCTTTCTCTTTTGTACAGGTATGGAAGAATCTATGCCCTTGGAACTTAGAAATCACGGGGTGGGGGATAATTTAGCTCCTTACTTTCTGATATATTATAACCTTTTTAATTTTTCCCTGAGCTGTGTTATTTAGATATTTCCCTTGGAATATAACTGCCCCCTCCCCCATCTTATCCACTGGGTTCTTTAGCACACTTTCAGTGGATTTACTGGTACATATTTTGTAACCATTATAATGTGACCTTGCTATTTGGGCAGGTGTCTCCCTCCTCCCTCTCTGAACCATGTCACTCCCTGCCTCCCCAAAGCCTGAAGGATAGCTCTTTGGTGTAGGGTATACAAGTAGAACATTAATAAAAGGGTATTGAGATACATCTCACATGTCTATTGCAGTTCTGTTGATGCCAGGTGACCTGGACGCTGTCACCCCCCCCTTCACATCATTTTGATTTTTAGAGAATAATCTTTGATTGTGTATATATGCCTGGAAACTTAACTGAAAGCTTTGATTCTTATAAGGTGCCTTATTAGCTGCTAGAGAATTCTAGGAAGAGGAAATAGCACTGGTGCCTCAGCCCTGCCAAGGACTTTTCTGTATATATTTTGTGTGCTCTGCGGGGACTCTCGATTTCTTCTATAGCAACAAACTCAGCATATATTAAATAAAATTATTGAAATCTGCATTGTAAGTTTCCTTAAGTAGTGGGTGACTCATTTGACCGGTGAATTGGGTCAGGCAAAGCAAGCGAAGTCATTAGATGGTGGTGACTGTCAGATCTTCTGGGGTGTATTTCCTTCTTGAGGCTGACATAAACACTAACATGTTCTCTCTAGTCTCATCTTCTTCTGGAAACATTCCCATCAGCCTCTTTAACCCAAATCTGGTCTTCCCAGAAGATGCTGTTGCCCATCACCCTCTCAGATTGTTAGCAATGGTTTCTCCCTTACTCCTGATAACCGTGGGCCAAGGGTCAGGTAAGGGTCTTTTTTAGTTTGTCATTGCTGCTTTTAAGATCAGTGATTCTCAACCAGGAGTGACTCTGCGCCCCAGAAGATATCTGGCAAAGTCTCAGAGAAAGTTTGGTTGCCACTACTGGGGCAGGTACCTGCAACATCGAGTGGGTACAGGTCAGGGATGCTGCTGAGTGAGCATTTTACAGTGTTCAGGACAGCTTCCCCAGACAAGGAGTTATCCAGTCCAAAATGTCAGTAGTGCTTGAAAAACCTCTTCTAGACCATTATCCCACTTGTTTTCTAAAAATGATCATTCGCCCTCATTTCTTGATTATAGTGTCAAGCTAAGCTCGCTGTCACCCCAGTACAGTTCCTCATCAATCTCAGGGTAATTCAGTAGCCACATAGACCTTGGGGTTGTGAGGCCATTTCCACTTAGCCTACCTGAGCCTTATAATCATTCCTTGATTCCACCCGCACCCTCTGCGTAGTCTCAATTTCAGACGTTCTCCCACGACCTCCCCTCTTCTTACTTGCCCACTGTGATAACCTGACTACTTATTCTTCTTTCATTGGAACCCACGATTCAGTGATTCTACCACTTTCTTGCTATTCCTCTCATGTCCTCATGTCCTCCCCTGCATCCTTCTCAGCTTAGACCATCATTACAATTGCTCTTGCACAGACTGTCCCTTGTTATCTTGCCTGGCAGAACTGCAACCCACATTGGATCCAGCTTTTCACTTAACCCTCTGAATGATTCTGCAGAAAACCACTAAAACATGATGACTAGTCCCACTTTAAACTTATGACCACTCATTTTAATGGGCTCTTAGCATTGTCTGGTGTGTTGACAACATCTCCTTAGTTCCTGCACTTGTCCCACTCTCCTAGATGATTGTTTCATACTTTCTTTCTCTTCAAACTCCAATTTCTACTCCATCTCTCTCCTCTCCACTTAAGACCTTGCTTCCTGTTTCACCAAGAAAATAAAAGGGTTCAGAAGAGGATTTCCTGACTCTCCCACCACACCTATGAATCTACCTGTATTCCTATCAAAAGCCAACTTCTGCACTGTGTCCTAGATCCCATGCCATCACTACTACCCAGGAACGTCCCTCCAGTGGCTTTCTCCTCGATGGCATTTCTCATTTTAGGAAACATGCTAAAAGATTTCCTCATGTTAACACAGATTTCTCTTGATTTTTGTATTAGTCCACCATGGATGTAACAGTGCCTTGGCTTAAGCAATAGTTCTGGAGTCTCCAAGTCCGAGATCAAGGCATTAGCAGGGTTGGTTTCTGGTGAGTCCTCTATCCGTGGTTTGTAGTTGGCAGCCTTCTTGCTGATCCTCTCGTGGCCTTTCCCCTGTGTGCTTATGCTCCTGGTATTTCTTCCTCTTCTCATAAGGACACCGACCAGCCCTCCTGGATTAAGGCCCCATTTAACCTTGATTACCTTTGTAAAAACCCTATTTCCAAATCCTGTTCTGTTAGGGATTAGGGCTTCACCTTGCAATTTTGAAGGAACCACGATTCGGTCTATAATAACTTGCCCGTTTAGCAATCTATTTCTCAACTCCCCAGACCTCAGTAGCATTGAGATTTGTTATCTCTACCTCCCTTCCATTCTCTCTTAGAGTGAATCCAGTCAGTTTTTAACCCTCAGAACACTCCACTGAACTAGCTCTTTTCAATGTCAAGAATAATATCCATGTGACAGAATCCGAGGGAATTGTCAATCTTTCTCCTTTTTGATCTATCAGTAGCAATTATCATAGCCGGTCACTTTCCCCTCCATGAAACATTGTCTTCCCTTGTTTTATGTGGCATGACTCTTCTTAATTCTCCTATCTCATTGTCTATTCCTGCTCAGTGTCGTTTGCTAGATCCTTCTAATCTTGCTGTTCTCTACATATAGGAGAGAACCAAGGAACAGTGCTTGCATTTCTGTCTTTCCTCTGCTCCCTAGATGATCTCATCCTATCAGGATTTTAAATACTATTTATATACTGACTTCCAAATTTATCTCCTGGTCCAATCTCTGTATAGGACGGTGTCCAATAGCTTTGCTCACCACCACCAAATCACTTCTCCCACAATCTTCTACATCCCTTTAAAAGCACAAGTCCACTCTTAGAGGTGTAGAGCCAATAGCCTTGGAGATGTGCTTTGTGTCTCTGTCATATACCACATCCAATTCCTGTCAGCCCTTCCTTCAAAATATATCTACTGACTGTGCTTTTCACCTCCATTGCTACCATCCTGGGCTGAGATACCAAGATGTCTTACCTGAATTCTTACCATTTTCTTCTTTTTTTTTTTTTTTTTTTTTTTAAAGATAGAGTGAGAGAGGGAGGGAGAGAGAGAGAGAGAATTTTTAATATTTATTTTTTAGTTTTAGGCGGACACAACATCTTTGTATGTGGTGCTGAGGATCGAACCCGGGCCGCACGCATGCCAGGCGAGCGCGCTACCACTTGAGCCACATCCCCAGCCCACCATTTTCTTCTAACTGGTCTGTTTCCACCCATTACTCCCTTACATTATACTCTCGACCCAATATTCAGACTGATCCTTTCAAAACATGTCAGAGCATGTCATTCTGTGCTCCACATCCTCCAGTGGTCTCCCATCTTACTTGGAACAATAGCCAGCATATGTGCTTCACGTCAGCAGTGAGATCTGGATCCTGCTCTTCTTTCATCTCCTGCCCATTCCCCTCCATCACTCTAGTCTAACCAAACTGGCCTGCCTGCTGCTCCTGAAACTCCAAGCACTCTCTGCCTTGGGGCCTAAAAATCACTGCCCCTCCATGTGAAATTCTCTTCTCACAGTTACCTTTATGATTCATTCCCTTATTTCTTCAGGTTTCTGTTTTAATGTCAACTATCATCCTATTAGTGAGGTCCCTCACTACCCCATGTAAAATAGCAACATCATACCCCAGGATTCCATATTACCCTGAAGAGGCTCCATCACTTCTGACATATATATTCTGCTTATGCTCTGTCCTTTCATACCAGACTGTAAACTCAGTGGGAGCAGGGACTTGGTAACTACTCTATTGTCCCCTTGTAGGACAGTTCTTGGCATATAGTAGAGACTAAATGTTCTGTTGAATGAATTTAGATTTATTTGGTAGACTTTTTAGTTTGGATCTACTTAGTCTGTTTTCATAAGACGTCCCTTCTTTCAAACTCCAACATTTCTTATTTAACCAAATACCACTTGGGGAAAAAAGTCTCAGACTTCTCTCAAACTTGGTGGATGAATTATATGCACCCAAGGGACCAGCCTTGAATTTTCCAGTTACCTCAGACAGCTAGGGAATAGCTTGCCATAAAGAAGCCTGTTGCATTACATCATCTTTCCCCATGTGTCTTCTTATGAATCAGATTGCAGAATCGTGGATAAAAATAATTTAATTCAGGTAGAAACTTCTATACATGAAGTTATGTTGCAAATCAAAATTTCTATAAGATGCCTGGTTTTGGGTTAATGACGTGGGCTTTAAGCACTACTAATGGTAACAATTCTTCTAGAATTATTTAAAGTTTGTGTGGGTGGCAGTTGGGGAGGCTGTTCTTGGCCTGCACAATAAGGAGCCTTAACCCAATTTAATTCAACTACCCTGCCAGCCAAAAGACCTGGAAAAGTAGGAGTGACCTACAGAGCTCAAGACTTCAAGGAGAGGAAAAAGGAATTAAAGGATTTAGAATTGGTCTCCATGTAATGAAGTGCTTCAGAAATCGTCTGTAAGTTGTGAGCATTGGAGCATCAACAAGAAGCCGCATTATGATGTAGGTTATGCTGCTGGTGTTAAGGTTAAAAAAAAAATGCATCACAAATTAGAGCCTCAGTCCTCTGGGATGTTGCACCAGGATAAACACCTTGGCCGTCTTGGAGAATAAACACATTTACCTGTTGGCCCACCCATTCTCTGATCTCAATAATCACCCGTCACCCATTCCCATTCCCTCTTGCTCAATTTTACCCCAGAGGATGGATACCTGTGTATCGGGTTTAGCTCAATTAAGAGGTTGTTTGATCAAGTGAATGCTAATTAGAAGGATTATACAGGAAGAGGCATTTCACTCTGTCCTGTTAGCCCCTACATACAGGTGTAGGAATTCCATCATTACTTTCAGAAAGATCTCCCATGACTAGGTTAAATCCCTGTGATAAACCTTCATACACACACACACACACACACACTCATGCCTCTCCATCCACACGATCATCACCATGCTGCTACACAGCCATTTGTAATTAATTTGATTAATGCCTGTTTCTCCCCTACTGCACTCAGGAAGGCAGGATTGTTTGGTTCTTGGTTGGTTCTGTTTATCTTTGTATTTGCAGTGCCTAGCAGTGTCTGGCACAGCAGATATATGTGTGGTGTGTGTGTGTGTGTGTGTATGTACACATATACATATACACATAAACACACACACATTCACTCACACCTGATCAATAGAAGTATTCTTTTCATCCATAATCTCCACCTGCGCTCAGACTGAGCTGGAAGGTAGTAAGCACATTGTGGACCTACACGAGTCGCCCCGTCTACTCTCTAGAGTAGGCTCCTTTTTCATTTCTGTCTCCCTCCCTCAGCTTCTGATCCCTGCAGTATGTGGTGCCATAACTGACTCTAATTTCATTCTAATTTTCCTTAAGGTTATACGCCCAGGAATTCTGAATTTCTGCACTAATTCTTCCTGTCTGCAGGTATGCTTTTCAGCTCCTCCTGGGCTTTCTAGGGCTAAATGCTGTATGACAAATAGCAGAAGGACATCCTACTTTGTAAACCCAATTGTCTCAAGGTATTAGGGTAGACACCAAAGTTTCAGGAATCAGAGAGACTACCAGTACTGGTGGCCCCATGAGTATTCCATTAATGAAGGAGAATCTAACTTCACCTTGGATCCCTATTAGGAGCCACTTCATTGAACAAGGGATAATCAGAGGAAACCAACCAGTGTTCATAAATAATCCTACTAAACCACCACATGATTGCCAGAGAAAGGGGTCGTGTCCCATAAGAGTACAATTCTACCTACGGCTATTCGTAATGATTGTGTGGCAACCAGCATTCTGGATGGGGTTTTTGGAGGGTCCAGGATTCCACCAGGCCACGGTATGCACCATGCTCTTGTCTAATCAACAGAGCTAAAGAAAAGTCAAACTGTAGACCTTCCATAATGGGAATTCTGCCACATAAGAAATACCTTATTATAAATGTCGTGCTCAGGAGCACTATGCATTTTGGTGACAGACATTCACTACCACCTGCACCTAGGCTCTTCATTACCATATTCCCAGACCTTGTCCCACAGCAATATCACTAGCCTTTGCATGGCACGTCATGGTTTGTAAAGCATTTATTATCTCAGATTGGCCATGCCCAAGTCTCCTGGGGTAGGCAGGCAGACATAAAAAGAAAACCCAGAAGTGGTTGTGTCACATAAAGGAAAGTCGGTTGACATCAGCAGGACTCACAGTGGCAATCCTCACTACACTGTGAGATGTGGTCCAGTTGGAGAGTGCAAAGATCCATCTTGTCACACCTAGACCTTACGAAATTAACTCATACTGAAGAAAATGAGCATGAGCCTAAGATAGATTCTGGAATGCCACTTATGTCAGTTCATAATGAGACATTTCCATCCAAGGATTAGGATTTAAAAATGAGTGTTCGGTATACTCTATCCCATTAGGGTGTCCACATCAATAGCTTCTTACTGTTGTAGGAACACCTTTCTGAGGCATATTTTCATGGTTCTGCTAGCTTATGCTCAAGACAGGGAAATATTTAAAAAGTGTGTAAGATGCCAGGAAGAATCTTATAGTAGATTACATTTGGCAATAGGCTTTGAATACTTGAAGGTCTCTGCATCTCTCTCTAAACTAAAAGCCAGAATCCTGGAAACTAAACGTTAAGTCTTCCTTCTCTCCATAGTGCTTAGACTGGGACACTAACAATGTTTATTTAATATTCTTCTGATTGACATTATTGATCTATTTATCTGATAAACAAGTTATGGTCTGTCTATTTGTTATTCAATTCCCGGTAGAGCACAAGATCTATGCTAATCCACACAACTTAAAAATGAAACTCTGAGATGACCAAGGGATCGCTAATTAGCCCAATATCAGACAATCAGCTAATGGCAGAGCCAGGGTTTTTCCCCCCATAGTATAGTATTGATGCATTATAGTTGTAAGGGGATTTCTTATTACGTATATACACATGCACAAAATATAGCAATATAATTTGGCCGATGTCATTCCCTAGTAGTTCCCTTTTCTTTTCCTCTTCTCTTCCGCTGGTCCCTTTCCTCTATTCTACTGATTTCCCTTCAAATTTCATGTGATCCTTCTCACCTGTTTTTCCTTTTTTTCTCTCCAGTTTCCACATTTAAAAGAAAACATACAACCCCTGAACTTCTGAATTTGGATTATTTCACTTAACATAATGTTCTCTAATTTCCTGCAAATAACATAATTTCATTCTTCTTTATGGCTGAATGAAACTCAATTTTGCATATATACCACATTTTCTTTATCCATTCATCTGTTGATGGACACTTAGGCTGGTTCCATAGTTTAGCAGAGCCTGAGTTTGTACATTATTGCTGACCCGAGAGCCATTAAATCTCAGGTGACTCTATCTTTTCTTTGTTGTATTGATCTTATAAATTTCAAGAGGGTAATTTTACTGCTTTCTTGATTTTATTAGGGACCTCACTGTAGTTGCAATTAAAAAAAAAAAGATAAGAGTTTTAACTTCTACTTAACCTGAATAGGAATTTCTAGAATTTATTTTAAGAAGTAAATGTTGAATGATACATTTTAGGATCTTTCCTAAAGATTTCTCCTTTTATGAATTGCACATTAACTTAATTCTTTAAGTAAAACTAATGTCTATCCTTATTTTTCTCCTCCAGTACTATCATCCACATTATAATGGACTGTGATATAATAACATGAGCAAATTTCCAGACAGCTTCTCGAAGGCCAAGTTTACTTACTCCTTTCTGATTTCATCACCTCCATCAGACTGGGGGACAGAAAGCACTGAAGGCCAATTTACTGAAGAAAATTGAACACTTTGTTTGCTATTACCCAAGGACTTGGGGAAAAAGTATTTGTTGATTTTCAGTGTCCAGATGAACTGAGTCACATAGATTTTTCTCAGTCAGTAGCCAAACAGTTATTCAGATGACAACTTCCAAAGTATGGAGTGCTCCAACCAGGGAGACTATTTTTCATTGCTTTTTGAGCTTAGGAAGAATGTAGACATCCATTGTAAACCTTATGTTTCCAAAATCCCAAATGTAGGAAAAATATGCAGACATACAGATATATAGGCTAATTCTAAGTAACAATATGAATATATTTAAAGTTTTTAAAACTTTGTATTTTTTGTAAAAATATTTTTCTTTTACAATTATTTTCCTTTTTTAAAATCATTTTACCAATATAATATATGGAGCCAAAGAAAACAATAATAGTATTAATAAAACCCCCTAAGATTCCTTGTCAGATTTAATTCTACCCAATGGCAAATAGTTGTTTCAGTTGTGGTTTGAAATAAATATAAACATATGTGTGTATTTAATTTTATTTTCTTAGAAAAATAAATCATTTGAAGTGTCTATAAATGTCCTGCAAATACACTGACTGATATAAATCAACGCTAAACACATACATGGCTCAGTCAAGGAGGCTGTGCCTTGAGCCCATCACCTGTCACTACCTTTGATGTGTGCCTGGCTCCGCCTAGAGAAAGTGGACAAACCCGGATGTGCTTAGTCTTCAAACTGGTGGAGCAGGGGTGGTGGAGAGGGGCAGAGAACCCCATCTGGCAGCCTAGGTAGCCCTGTTTTAAGACTGAAGTGTGAATAGACTTGGTATCGAGCCCACACCAGAGCTGATATTTTTGGGAGAGTATGGTGTCCCATTAGCAAAAGGCAAGGATGCTGGAAAAGATGGAACCAGCTATGTGCTACCTGGAATGTTTGTTTTTCTGAAGTCGAGTTTCGAAAACACAACTCCAAGGCACAAACAAGATGAAATGCAAAATTAAACTTCTAGCTACTGTATTGAACTTTTGCAAAGAACCTTTCCTCCAAGCACATCTTCCTTCCCCTCCTTGACTTGTGCCTTTGAAAAACCTAATACAAAAAGTGCTGAAATGAGTCACTGAATATAGCTGGTGCTCAGAGGAAAGATTCCATCCAACAGATTCCTTCTCCCCCATCCTGAGTCCTCCTAGCAGTGTTCTACTTAACCCAAATAAAATGGTAAAAGAATAAAGACAGAGTTTGACTTTACCACCTGTAGCCTAGTGAACTCTGTGCTTTGCCTGTGATCACTATTCATGCCATTTTCACAGCCAGGAAAGACCGTCCCCTCTGCATTTCTTCATCCTGAAGTTTTGCCCAAGTGTCCTGGTCAGGCTGACCGGACCTATTGTCTCAGGAGCTTAAATTGTAGGCACCCGTGACATGAGACTAAACTCAGGCCTCTTTTTTTGTGTTCTTCCTGATTTTCAAGTGTCGATTAAGGTCTGTTTTCAGAAGAAGGTTGAGTGCACTGTTCAGTGGTAGAGCACTTGCCAAGAATCATGTGTGAGGTGCTGTGGGCTTGATCTCTAGCACCAGCAAAAGAGAGAGAGAGAGAGAAAAGTTGGAATTAAAAATATCAACTAACTCTCTGATATCATTTCCAAAACAGTCTCACAGCTGCAATTGGTCTTCTCCCAGCCTAAGTGACTTGCTGAATGGTTAGTATTTATCAGGGACTGTATCACATGCCTCATCAGACCATCTCCCCTAACCTCCCAACAGCCCTGTGAGTATGTGCCTATAACACTTTGATTTCCCAGGCACTGGGACTCAGGGTGGTGACATGGTTTCCTGGGTCACACTATCACTAAGGAGTGAAGACAAGATTCAGACCCAAGCTTTGAGAATGTTCTTTCTTTAGGAACCAGGATCCTTCTTTATAACACACTGAATAAAATCAAATGAATACCACACATCATGAGGTGCCTTGTGCATACACCAGGTTTCTATGCATTTGTTGATAACTATGCTCTTTTGGAAAAGAGAATTTTAGTGAAATATGATGTGGTTTTCAGGCATCTGACTTGCCATGCATTATAAGATGAAAAAAGAATTTCTCTCTAAATGGATCTTGAAAGAATGCAAACATAATATGGCCACCCAAAAATAAAATAAAATAAACAACATCTTTCCTTCTCGTCCTTGGTTATCAACATTCATCAGCTCTTCTCCTCCTGCTCCTAGCCCTCCAGTGTGTGGTAGTCAGGGCTTAAGCTGAAGCAGACAACAAATAGTAATAGCTGCTCCCATTAGAAACAAGGGCTGTTGAGGGAAGGTGGACAGCCGTGGGAATCAGGGGACACTGAGCTCATGTATTTTGCCTCAGATGATTGATCTTGAAAACATAAGCTTGTGAATTCATTTATAACTCAAGGTCATATAACAATAATACTCTGAGTATGTACACCATTTGTGCAGACATTAGTGCTTCTAAGCTTCCTGAAAACCTAGTGTCCCTGCTTTGGAAGTGAGAAAACGAGGGCTCAGGTTGAGGACTTGCCCATTGCCCACATTTCTATCATAGTCACTTTCAAAAAAGTAAATCTGATCTTAGGTTCTCCTTTATCCTTTTTGAAGATTTTTTAAAAAATAATTAATTTTTACTGGTTATTTTTAGTTATACGTGACAGTAGAATTTATTCTGATAGAATCACACAAGCATGGAATATATCTTATTCTAACTAGGACCTCATTCTTATGGATCTACATGATGGTGGGATGCACTATGGTGTGTTCATAGACGTACAAAGGGAAATATTTTTTATTTATTCCACTGCCTTTCCTTATCTTTCCTCCCTTCCCTTTGTTCCCCTTTATCTAATCTACTAAATATCTATTCTTCCCCTCTCTCCCTTATTGTAGGCTCGTTTCCACATATCAGTGAAAACATTTGATCTTTGGTTTTGGGGGACTGGCTTAATTCACTTAGCATGATAGTCTCCAGGTCCATCCATTTACTGGTAAATGCCATAATTTCACTCTTCTTTATGGCTGAGTAATAGTCTATTGTGTATATAGACGACATTTTCTTTATCCATTTATCTGTTGAAGGGCACCTTAGCTATTGTGAATTCAGCTGCTATAAACATTGATGTGGCTGAGTCACTGTAGTATGCTGATTTTAAGTACTTTGGGTGTAGACTGAGGAGTGGAACAGCTGGGTCAAATGGTGATTCCACTCCTAGTTTTTGAGAAATCTCCGTACTGCTTTCCAGAGTGGTAATTTCACCAATTTTCCACCAATTTCCACCAATTTTCAGTGCCACTAGCAATGTATGAGTCTATCTTTTCCCTACATCCTCACCAATATTTATTTTTACTTATATTCTTGATAATTGCCATTCTGACTGGAGTGAGATGAAATCTTAGCGTAGTTTATTCTTGAGAAGAGATCTTTTTGTTGCTAGGCTGATCTTGAACCTCTGGCTTCAAGTGATCCTCCTGCCTTAACCTCCCAAGTAGCTGGCTCTGCAGGTGTGCACAATTGTGCCAGGCTTAATTCTGCATTCTTATGTCTCCGGATAGAAGTCCACCCGACTCCTTGCCCCCCACTTAAAATCTTTGGAAAGATCCCAATTGCCTGTAAACACACATTAGGGGCAATGGGACCATCGATCCCTGGTTCCCAAGTCCATCTGCACCTTCCTTCCATCCACAATCCACCCTCTCTTGCCCACCTACTGAATTGTCAAACTACACTACCTGTGTTGTCTACCATACTCTGTATTACCTCCATGATCCACCTGCACTCTCTTTCCCTATCTCTTTTTACCTGAAAAGTGAAAAAGACTCAGTTCAAGGATCACTTCCATGTCAAAGGCTTACACCAACTGCGCTGGGTAACACAGAGGTCAACTCCTTCACTGGATTAAATGGTCTACAGACTAGTTGAAAGACTTAAAAATTAACTGAATTAAGAAAAACATTAGCTGGGCATGGTGGTGCATGCGGGAGATGGGAGGATTGTGAGTTCAGAGGCAGCCTCAGCAACAGCAAGGTGCTAAGCAGCTCTAAATGAAATACAAATAAAGCTGAGGATGTGGTTCAGTGGTTGAGTGCCCCTGAGTTTCAAACCTCGGTAACAACAAAAACAAAAAAAAAGGAGGAGGAGGAGGAGGGGGAGGGGGAGGGGGAGGGGGAGGGGAGGAGGAGGAGGAGGGGGAGGGTGAGGGGGAGGAGGAGGGAAAGAAAGAAAGAAAGAAAGAAAGAAAGAAAGAAAGAAAGAAAGAAAGAAAGAAAGAAAGAAAGAAAGAAAGAAAGAAAGAAAGAAAGAAAGAACAGTGAATGAGCTGGTCAGTTGTGAGATTTTAAAGGCTAAAGAGTGAGAGAAACCAAGTAAGAGAAATGAAGAAATTCATATTGCAAACAATTGGTTTTGTATACGTAAAGTATATACAGTCCTTCCTCAGTATCCACAGAGGATTTGTTCCCAGACCCCCTGCAGATCCTGAACTCCAAAGATGCTTAAGTCCTTTATATGGTACAGGATTTGCACATAACTTGTGCACATGTTCCGGAATACTTTAAATCATCTCTGCCCTACTTATAAAACTTAATATAATATAAATGCTACATAAATAGTTATGATGTATTGTTTAGAGCACAATGACAAGAAAAAACATCTGTACTTATTTAAAATAGACACAATTTCTTTCTCTTGAATATTTGTAAAAATTGTATATGTATTTTTAGTTGTTGATGGGCTTTATTTTATTCATTTATTTATATGCAGTGCTGAGAATCGAACCCAGTGCCTCACACATGCTGGGCAAGCGCTTTACCACTGAGCCACAAGCCCAGCTCTTTCTTTTGAATATTTTGACCCATAGTTGATCAATCAATCCATGGTCTGAGGACAGACTGTATGTATCAAAGTGAATGCAAGATTGATTAAAAAGAATCAGATGGTAAACCTGATGATGATGATGATGATGATGATGATGATGATGATTAACTAAAATGCAGCCTGGAGTCAGAGAGAAGCTTTAGAACCCTCTCTAAGTGGTAGTGTGGTGGGGTGTCTTGTTTCTTTCTGTCATACTCAACAGTGTTTAGAAGAACAGGCAAACTTTTCATTCTTTCTGATGAGCTGTTTCTCCATACAATTATTCCATTTTCTGGGGAAGAATCCCTTAATGGCATGGCATTGTGATTTGTTTTCTAAATCACAAAGCAGATGTTGACATTTGTTCCACTGGCTGGCTCACCTTTCTTCCTCTCTTCCTACATAGCCTTGTTCAAATTTATATGCAGCCCATCCAGGTACATCAGGTAGGCAAAGGTCCAGAGAAAAGCAGGCTTAAAGAACCAACGGAGTCCTCTGGACTTTGCATTTGTTAGTCAATGAGTCTATGAATGAACTCTTCCAGGCCAGCCCTACAGTCACAGCTGGGGTTATATTCCTGGCTCCACCTCCTCCAACTGCTTGTTAGTATTGACTTTGCAAAGCAGGGATCATTGTGCAATTTG